TAGCGCCGCAGGCACTAGAATAATTTTCCTTACAATTTTGCGGAAAACTGTAGGGAAGTGCTTGGAATGCTTGTGGAATTGTGTTGCTGATTGATCCTCTAATTTCTTTCCCGTTTCTGATTGCTGCGTTATTTTCGTGTTGCTATCGATTAAATGATATGTTTGTCTTATCAAATGGCCAACGACTGCTTAACGTTTATTTTCAGGGGAATCACCTTTTTGTATTTTCGTGATTATATTCCTGTGTGCTGATTGTTGAAGAACGAGTTCAGCAGCTTCAACAGGACGGATAGGTGTGGGTTCCCATAGTTGAAGTGGTGGTGGTACGTCCATTATGGATGGTATAGATCCGGACGTCCTGCTAGAATGGCTTCAAACGGGTATCGGAGACGAAAGGGATCTCCAGGTAAATGCCTTTCTTAGTAATTTTTCGATTCAGTTCCGCTTATTTGATTTTATGTTGAAACTCGAGTGGTTCATTTTTCTAACCTGTGGAAAATTTGTATGGGGTCTAATTTCCACGGAATCGGGAAAATCGAGCAGGTCCGAAAACTTTAGCGATGGAAGTTCCATGATATTCGAAATGCCGCTCGGGCTGCGTTCATACTTTGCGTCAGCATTTTGGATGACAAGGAAAGAATAGGTATTGATCTAGGGGTTTGAGGTACGCTAGCGTTTAGAGCGTTTTCACGGGTAGCTCTGAATTTGGCGTGCGCTCAATGCGCTAGATCGATACTTATATATTCCTAGTCGTTCGAAACGCTCAAAACGCTGACACGAAATTTAAACCCAGCCCTACAGTATGCAAACCAAAATTGCTACTTGAATTTCAAGAGCGAGTTATAAACAGTTAAATTCGCCATATTTGTTGAGAACGTGTCCACTGCCTTTTGCTCATTACATGGGGGTTTAGGGTCGTTGCAAATTTGGCGCGAATCGCGATTGAGGGGCATCTGCACTATCCCGTTCCCATAAGTGAGTGTCGAGTTATCATGTAGAGATTATGTGAAATCATGTGAAGCATGAAGTGATAAGTTCAAACTAACTTGTCACAGTTGTAAAGATTGAACTGTAAATTATTGTGAAACAATGAACACGGACAACGGAAGCAGCAGAAGTGCAATGTACCCTCCTCCGCTGAGCTTGGCGCTGCAACAAATTTGACGGCCAGAACTCATTGTAAGATGTAGATAGAATTTTTGGTCCACATCTTAATCAGGATCAACTCTAGAGTTTCATAAGAACTTGGCCGATTCGGAGGTTTCAAAAGTTGCAAATTTTATTAAGTTTATTCGAAATTGTTCCACATTTAACATTGTAAAAACTTAGCTGCTTATGTGGTTCTATAAGGGAGAGCCAATAGCAAGAAAAAGTAAAGCCAATACCAAAAGAAAAAGTTTGGTTTTATTCTGGTTTTTTCAAGTTTTCTATGTGCGCTCGTGGGTGGTCTGTTATTGAGCGCCGGACTCGCCACGGGGAAATCGATACTATTATATCAAGTGATGCCATTGACAGAAAGTGCATAGCGCCTGACACAATTGATAGCAATTAGAAGAATGAAGTTGTTCTAAAAGGGCGAATAGTTTTCGAATAATGTAGGTGAACTTAGTACATTTAATCTGAAAAATAAGGTTTTCGTCTTGTGGGTCGGGGGATGTGAACTGAACTGTAACTGATCTGTTGCTTAGAGTGACTTTGCCATCGTTAAATCCTAAATTGGGTCTAGCTAAGATAAAAAGGCAAAGAGCTCTTCGCGTTTTTTTTGTGGGCAATTAAGGTTTAGTGCCCCTCCAGCCACCTTCTAAGGGTCCCCATTCCACCGATGTACTTGGAAGTTTCACGTGGTGAAGTTTCTTGACTTAAATCACGATACCTGCTTGGCCTTGGCGTTTTCTGGACTTGGATTTGGTATAGTTGCCATAGTGAAAAGAGCATAAGGAACACCCCTATCCACTTCAAATGATTTGAAATATTGATTTTCCAATACCGAACTCAATTTTGAACATTTTTATACAAGTGCTGTAAACTTCGTGATTCTCATAGTTGCTGTCTGTTTTAGATGATGGCCCTCGAGCAGCTGTGCATGTTGCTGCTTATGTCAGACAATATCGATCGATGCTTTGAATCGTGTCCTCCGCGAACGTTCCTCCCAGCGCTGTGCAAAATTTTTCTGGATGAAACTGCTACAGAGGCCGTTCTAGAGGTTTGTACACGATGTTAGGGTCTAATTCGAGGAAGAAATGGCATGAAAGCAGCGAAGGCAGGGCACATCGTTGTTGGGGAATCCCCAACAGGGGGGTCGTATTTGGCCGCCAGGAGAGGGGGTCGTATTTGGGCTGAGAAAAATTTATTTTGATAGTTGATTTTTCTCGCTTCACGGACGTTGTAAAGGGGGGGGTCGTACTTGCTCATTGTTGGGAGGGGGGGAGCGTATTTACTTTCTGGCTTTCTAGGATGATGGTTAACTATTCGTTATTTTCCTGTTTCATGCGTAGTGTATACCCCCCCCCTTCGACAGCGAAATTTTTGGAAGTTTTCGGGAAATTTTGGAAGAAGTGGCAGGAAGTTGGGAAAATCTGTAAATTTGGTAGAAGGAGGGGGAGGTCATATTGTCTCGCTGCTTTTCCTGTTTCACATGTGCTATTTAGTTACCCTCCCCCCTCGACGGCTTGATTCGATGAGGGACAGAGGGCCGGAGAGAGGGTCGTACCACTCCCCCCCCCCAAAAAAAGGGGTCGTACAGACTCGACTAAAGT